ATATATATATATATATATATATATATATATATATATATATATATATATATATATGTATGTATATATTTTTTCTTTTATCTCGATTTATTCTGTTCTCTCTTCATTGAAAATACGTGTTCATAATTTTATTCTCCGCGACGATACAATATGTATATAAGATTTCATCATCTTAGCGACGGCCAGCGCTAATTCCACTTGAATATTATTTATTGTCGATAAGTTGCATAATAGATTTATTGTCGATAAGTAGAATGTGATATTCGTCGTTTCTTCATTTCATAAGTAAAGCTTCATCACGTCCGGATATATAACGCGTGTGTGATATAGATTCAAAGTAGATCCTAGATAGATTTATATACTCGTATTGTGATTATAACGTGCTAGGTATGTATTTTACTAATGTGGATTAATATCTGTGTGATAAATTTCGTGTTACAGTTTTCGGCGATCCTTAACGTTTGCCATTTCTTGTCGTATTTTATTTCGATAGATAAGATCAACGTGTCTAAAAGCTTCTTTCATCGTTTATATTGGTATATACAGTTACACGCGCGCGCACACACACACACACACACACACACACACTCTTTCTTTCTTTCACATACACATGCTTTCACTCACTCATTTACGTTCGTTTTCTCTCGTACACACACACACACACATATGCCCTCACATGCAATACAAATATTTAATTGCCGGGACTACCGTGACTCTAGAGGTGCAGTAATGCGAAATTTAATCCTGAATTCCACTATTACCGCTACATATTACGACAAATTTTCAATTCACGAAAGTGCACAGTGCAGATTTTGTTTTACGGTTTAACGTCGTGTCTACGGGGAACAGGGGGAGAGAAAACGTGTTTCGTTCACGTTGAAGATCAGACGTGATGCGATCGCAGTGAATATCCATTATGCCAGTCGGCAAGGGTGAAAGCTCGCTTATTCGGCGCGATACATACATATATACTACAGGAACGAGATAATCTCGTCATGACCGAGAATCTTCACGATCTATGTAAAACCTGGAAGTCAATCGTTTATCGTGATGCGCGCATCTTACACCACGTTAAAACTAGTACGGATCTTATCCATTACCGCGTCCAAGCCTTTGAGCATCGTAAAATACACGTTGTATTGAAAATGTATACACCACTTTGGAATTACCTTGGTTCAGCGATTGGAAAAATCTCCAACTTCAACTCTGATAGAGATTTCTAATTTGAACTTACAAACTTAGCAAACCAAGCTTCCAAGATGCTAGTCGTCAGCGCGATTTTATCTTTTCTCAACACGAAGAGCGCAGTATATCTCGTGGTTATTAATTCACTTAATGCACGAAATAAAAATATAGCCGCCCGACGCGCAACGCGACATCGATCGAAACTCCATTGGCTCTCGGGTATATATTTTTTCAAGACACTCCGTGTATAACATAGTTAGATATATTTTTTTTTGTTTAGGATGGTACCACGTACCTATGTTTACTTCCTGTAGACAGCGATGGCAATAACGATCGTGTCAGCGTTATTAATCTTGGTGTGATATGTGGTTGATATATTCCGAATTTACGATTTCGATGCCGACAGTTTCACTCTTCCTGTGCAGTTCGACACGTGATAATACATAAAAAATGGAATGTGCTGATCGATTGTTTGTTTGCACGAACGTGTCAGTCGCTCGCTCGCTCACTCATTCGCTGTCTACAGAAAATTGCGCGGGAGTATTTAAGTACAGAAATCGTTAATGTGTTTCCGAGACTTTCATTACGCTTCGTTACGATATCCGATATGGCAAGGATATGACTCACGGGTAGATAGTTGATAATTACTGATACGAGAAGTTTCTCTTCGCAGCCCGCGTGCAGAAAGATTTGCCTCTATCATATCGTATTTCCGGTACGTGCTACGTCGGAATTGGACTAGTTCGATTGTTCTCTCTCTTCTTTTCTTTTCGGTTCTTCTGTTGCGTTGTCACGTTATAGTTTCGCGGTAAACTATGTGTCGGAGGACACTTTAAGGAAATCTTTCTCCGCGAGGACGCGCGTTCCATCACAGACGCAAGCTGCTTCGTAAAGTGTGATCGACTTCCGTAACAAATGCCTGTCGCCGACGCACAATAAGACTCTCTCGCGCGTTTTCTACAAACTATATAAAAATACAAAATACACAACGTCGTTATAGAGATTTCCGACTTGACCACTCGAGCGAGTGCGTGTGAATAGTCATACCTTTGAGAGAGAGACAGGAAACCGTCGAAAGCAGTCGGATGAGGTTCAGAGGGATCTAAATATCGGTTATAGACGCGTGTATATGTGTATATATATGTATGTATGTATGTGTGTATGTGTGTATGTAAGAAGATTCGCCTTTTTTCTTTCTCTACGAATATTCAACGTAACTGCTTTCAACGTCATGGATACGTGTGATCTCTTATAATAGGCTAACAGTACCGAATTTCGCTCTATTTCGCGAACTTGGCAATATATAGTATTGTCGAGAATTTGTTCACATCGTTACTCATGTCATATTACGCTAATCGCATAAGTGCCATAAATACAGTAATAATAGTAATAATATATATATAATATATATATATATATATATTAATTATATATATAATTATATATATATATATATATATATATAATATATATATATATTAATTATATATATATATATATATATATATTAATTATATATATATAATTTAATATATATATATATATATATATATATATATATATATATATATATTTATAATGTACAATAGTCTATGGGTACAGGATATACGCGTTTTATACGAAAAGTAACGCAGGTGTGTAGACGCATCTACACTTGATATTGTCATTGTCAAGTCATTCGCGCGCCTTTGCACTGCGGAGCTCAAATATTCTCGTCTTCGACATTCAGATTTTATTCCGCGAAAAATTTGCTTCGTGTATTCTCCCTCTTATCGTGAATCTCTCTTGCAAGCCCAACGTGTTTGGCTACGAAAGACCGTCGTCCTCAGCATTAATCGTTCTTTTGCGCTGTTCTTGTGGGAGAACAGTTTTTACTGTCCGTTTCGACGCGATACTCTCGAATTAAATTCGCTCGCGTTTCATTTAACGATTGAAGATACAGCAGCGAAAACAATCGTGGATTCCTTAACGTGTATCGATTGCTTGGCAGAAAGATCGACCGGCAGTCTACGAGCAGTCCGTCGCGTCTACTCTAGGAGCTCGGTTCGTGTACTCGGTTTGTTTACTCGCGATGTATTTACAGTATATATACATTCTCATTCGCGCTGGGTATGCTTTCGCGGAAAGCACGGTACGTGTGAAAATGCTGTGTCGCATTCGCCACGAGTGAACCTCGTGCGTTATAAGAAACGCGTTGACGAATCGCACACTAAAGAGACGAAAGAAAAAGATATCTTTGAGAAACGATATAGGCAAGCCGCGAGACCCGCGCGCTACGATTTTATACGGATTTTATTTACCGCTACGCACAGATATTATTTGGTACCAATTTCAATTATAGTCAATTAGTTGACGGTTTCTAAAGACACTTCGAGGGGACGAGGTCCATCGGATAGCCAGACGTTCTCGAACGGGTGTGACGGTGATCTCGTATACAAAATTGAAAATCAACCTAATTCTTTTCGGGATACTTTCTAAAAGAGATATCACGTTCTTTTTTATTTTCTTTTCTTTTCTTTTTTAGAGGCGTTAAGTAGGAGCAACGATGTAAAGCTCAATGACACAACTTGATTATCAGTCGAGAAACGATTTAATCGTTAAAGCTAAGACACGAAGGCAATTTGTTTTGTCGGTCACTTTTCAATCGTTTCTTTCCGCTCACTCTCTCTTGTGAGCGCGCGAACACCCCTCATACATCGCGATCTAAAGATATGTTATCGTGGAGAAGATATGAACTTGACGGGAAAGGAAGAAATTTCCGTAACGCAGTCTACTCGCTATCGATAGATTTGCCAATCGCGGCATCGTACCGTCCTGCGAAACTCCCGTCCCTAATGGATTACAAGTGGAAAATGCTTTCCCGCTCGTGATACGCATCGTCGGGTAACTCGAGACTCGGGCCAATATCTGCGCGAGGTCGTCGCGCGGATCGATGGACGGTCTGTCGACGAGGCAAGTCGCGATCGCTCGTTGTTGTTCTCTTTCGATCATAAGTAGCACGTCTTGTAGTAAATGAAGGCGACGGTGTCCTTGCCGAAAGTCCGGCACTCGCGCTCGTAGTGCACCTGGCCCGGCTCGTACCTACCGCCTCGCGGATATCTGTCCAGTCGCGACAAGTTCCTGCAGAGTCTGAGGTAATCGTCGTCGAAAGCGAGCTCGTTCTGATCCGTCGCACGTCGACGATAATCATCGAGTCGCTCGCCGCGGGACGACGCGAGATACGTGACGTCGTCGAGCTCCAAATCCGTTAGATCCTGCAGGCTCTTCGGATACGCGCGTCGGCGGCCACTCTCCAGGGAGTCGAGGCCGCCCGCTTGATCCTTGAAGTTGATGGTCCTGCTGCGCCGCGGTAGGGTCGAGTAATACGGCCTCTCGTCTACGCCATGATTAATGCCGTTTCTCAGAATCGGCTTAAAGACAGTCGGACCTCTTGCGTTTTGCCAGTCGTCCTCGTCATCGTAATCCGCCACGTACTCGCGCCTCCTGGAGCGCCGGGGCGCGGTCTCGTGCGAGCGATCGACGTAATTGCTCGCGTTACCGCGCGACTCCCGCGGCTGTTTCGTCCGATTGCTCCTCGGCAACCTCTGATAGTCATGGTTCTCGCGACGATGCGACGAACGACGGTTCTCGCGCGTCGCGTACTCGTCCCGCACGTCGTTCCGCACGACGTCGCCGTTGCTGTTGGGAACGTCGACGCGCGACGTCTCGTCGAACGTGCGACGAATCGGCAGCAAACCACGCGACTGCATGAAGTTCTCCACGTTTTTGCCGATTCGGTTGGTCTTCTCGGCGAAGATACCGCAGTAGTCGGACAACTTGCGGTGAGCGGCGCGCGCGGATGACGACGTCGCGACGCTCGACGTAGTCGCGGCTGACGGCCGCGCGATCGACGACGGTGCCTCGTTGCTGTACAGATCGCGCGGATCGTGCTCGTTTGGATAAGCGCCTCCCGGTAGAGGCTTGTTCGCCTTCTCGAGGTTCGAGAGGCCCCCCGTCAGGGAGGCCTTATACTACCGTGCCTGCGCATAATCCGGATTCATCTCGTCCAGCTGTTTGCCCTTCGTCTCAGGGACGCAGCAGACTACGAAACACAGTCCGCACACCGCCACGGCGGCGTAAAACCAGAAGGCTCCGTGCAGACCGAGAGTCTGAAAGAAATTTGCGCGTTTCTGTGCAGTCCTTACGGGGGTCCTTTCCAGCTCGCGATAGCTAGTGATATTCGGTCGAAATTTCTATGCTAAAT